ATAGAACAACACTTATTTGCTCTCCTCATAATAACATCACTTGGGATCTGTATCTTTTATTTATCTATTTCTCTGTTTTAGTAGAAAATGTCTTCGTGAACATGCACGACACATAAATTGTCATGATATCCTTATGTGAATAGATAAAAAGATTGATGACCCTTATGTGAATCAAATAATATGTAGTATCTTCTCAACTGCATAGTCTCGAACCATGAACTATTGACAAGATACAACACTGTATCTGTTCACTTGGGTATGTACTTCAAAACTAATAAGTATTCATTATCAAATCAGGATGAAAATAGTCATTTTGTCATTTCAAGTGACAAATAATTATCCGGATCAAATGGATATATCATTTTTCCATTTGAAATCTTTTCATAATTTTCTCTTTACAAGTTGCATGATGAACAAAAAAATGTAATAGATAATGTTCGATAAGCAAGTCGAAGTAAAATTTTTATTTTTCCAAGATCTTTTTCTAAAATTATTTCTTTATGTAATTAACTTCCTTCAAAATCTTTTCAGGAGTTAAATTCAATGATTGAAAAGTTTGGAGACTAAAGTGTAAACTTTCAAAACTTGCATCGAGTCAATTATTAATAGTTTTAGGATGAAGAAGACTTAATTTCAAATATTAGAGGAGGAATAATTAAAGTTGTATAAGAAAAGGAGTCCAATTGAAAAAGGGAGTTGTTTCATTTTTCTCATCAAACTCTGTGGAAATCAATTTGAGCATGAATTTGACCTAAATCTTGTTTTACAAATACGTACCTTAGTCCAATAATTGAATGAGGCTTGTAGGGTTTCATTTTACAATTATATTCAAGTCGAGGCTTGGGGATCCATTGTACACATATTTACAAGCCAAAGCAGTCTCAATGAACACGAACAGTCACATCAATAACAAGAAAAAAGAGCCAAAACGGGGAAGGAAAAAGAATCAAAGAAATCAATTAAGAAGTTAGAATTTTTACAAGAAGGCAGTGAATCTTGGTGCAAAATTTTCCATATTTTTCTTGTCTTCTCTTTAAGTCCGGTGATATACTTTAATTCATTCTTGTTTTATTCTTCTCTTGTGATGTGTCAACTAATTAGAATGAATGATTGTGACCTAGTTTTGAACCTTAATTTTACTAAAAAGTTCTAAATCTTTAATTGATGAATTGTTTTTACTTCTAATCTTAATGTTTTGAATTAATTGCCCATTAATTCATTAAGATTTTGAGCGATAATTATGTCGACATGCGAGTTATTTGCATATACCACGTAGTAAAACCTACAATTTGGATAAAGCAAATATACAATTTTATGGTTATCCCAATTGTCAAATTATTTTTCTTGTGATTGAATCCTCTCGATTGATTTTTATTCGAATTCACATAGACATAGTGGGTTGTCTATATTGGTAGGATTGACTTAAACTTTAGAGGTGTAAATTAATTAATAGAGAAGAAATCGACCATTTACACGTAATCAATTGTCATAAGATTTGTTGATTGAGATTAAGGGGATAGATATGATAAACTTGTAAATTCTAAGACTTAAATCATTATATAAAAATCCATTTTTAATTGTTTGTTTAGATCAAAAAAATTTAGGATAACAATTAAATTACATCTATTTCTCACCATTCGAATTTAAGTTAGGAATAGTTGAACCAGCGAATAAATAGTAGTCTTTGTGGAATGATAATCCAGATTTTTAGATCCACTCTCTTGTTAAGATCCGTACATTTCCATGATACGAAATCAATAAAAAAGGATCTAAGGAATTATTGAAGATAAAACTTGAAGATTTTCGGGTTCTGGGATTCAAGATAGAGATTGAAGAGATTACTTGAATATTTTTACTTCTAAAATAAACTGGTAATGTCTATGTCAACTTTTTCTAGTTTAGATTTTTTCACCATGTTTTTTGACAAGATTATTGATTAGGATGAATGATGTAGCTAATTGACTTCTACTCATATTAATCTTTCTTTAAGAAGTTTTATTGAATCGGCAATATTATTTTATTTTCATGTTTGTTAATAAGACTTAAATTGTAATGATATTTATTGCATGTTAATCAAGAGACTGCATGTTATAACAATCAATCTTACTTTTCATAAATTGTTGTTAAATTGAGAAATTTCTACTTATTTATGCGACTGTCCTATGTTTTTATGTATCACTTTATCAAATTATTTATCAACGGAGGAAAGTTTGATAATTAGAGATATATTAACGAATACTCGAGAGACAAACTTGAATATTTTATCTTGGATCTAATGATTGACAACACAATGAACCAAAATATGTATTGAATATGAGTAAGATTAATTAGTGAAATATGGACTTCTAACTATTTCATAGTCAATTTCTATCCTAATTTCTCCATTAATTATGAAAAATTCTATTTTTAAGACAAATTTTCATCTGTGTTCATGTTAGGGTTATTTAATTCAATTTTAAAACCAAAATTTTCATATGTATTCGTGTTAGTGTCAATTAATGTTAAATCAACAATCAATGCCTCGTACAAATAATTAGACCTTGAACTTTGGCAACTATTATTACGCATTTGTCTATGCGGCAAGGCATGGGCCATCAGCTAAGCAAATGCCATGCAGGTACTTTTTTGAGGCTTTGATCCTCTCCCTTGAGGCGACGTTGCAAAACACCATCGCCTCGTCCATTTATTGTCGAGGTGTTGAGAGCATAGCTCAATACCTTGAGACAACAGCAACATCCGAGGTGATATAACTCAAATCTATACTTAACAACTCCTCTCCGAGATGATCAACAACACTAGAGGTCTCCTTGAGGTCATAAATTCTGATGCCTTACTATAATATGACATATTAAACCATGTGCAATTTAAGAAGACATTTATAGACTTTATAGGCGACTTTGGTGGATTAATTCGTGAACTTTTAAGTGACTTTTATGGATTTGTAAAGAATTAATAAAAGTTTCTCATTGACTTATATTTCACTAAGATTTTTTAAAGGCTTTCTCCCTAACAGAAAAATATTAATCCAATATAAAATAATATTTAAAAAACTTATTGTATGTTAAAATCGTCCACGACATATGTAATTAACCTTGCGTATGGAGACATAAGGACAAGACAATGATGCGTGGATGGCCTGACGAGCTCCTTTTTGGAACGACTATATAGCCAATCGTGTCATTAATAACACATGCCATAATTGAAACCTCCTTTCGATTTGGTAGTACAACTATATGTTTAATGTCATATTCTTGATCAAATATGCAAAATAGTCATCCTATAGCACAGAAATTGACACTTATAAATTCGAACCATAAAGAACAAATTATTACTACCAAATTAATAAAATGAGCACACTAATTAAATTTTTAGGAAGCTATTTGTTCGTAGAAATCCCACAAACGTACATGTTCGTTGTACAAATAATAATTGTGATGAGAGAGTTATCATTCACAGGGAGTAATGCTCAATTTTAGTATATTTGATTTATCTAAATTCGTGTTTATAATCAAAAGACGATCGGTGAATATCTAACAAGGTTTTGTAACTAAAATTGTAAAATCAATAAGAAGTTTGGTTTAAAAATCAAATGAGTGAATGTATTGGATTTCTGACGTCATTAATCAATCCTTAGTTCTAATTCTCAATAAATAATAATTATCTCAATTGATGCGATTGTGACGAACAATAATTTCACTTTTATTTATTATTCTTTTCCAAGATATAATAAATCTATGATTATCACGAGACAATCCTATTTCTAGTTCGAATTCATATGGCGAACATGTATTAACATTTAGGATTATCACACATGATCCCACATGCCATAAATATTATTCCTAACATTTATTGCTCATGTGTTCCAATAACAGTGTTCTACCAACCGTGAGTTTTTCAACACTACGAATAAGCAACTTATTATCTAATGGTGTGCAAACATTAAAATAATGTAAATATACATATTAATGGAATCACAATGCAAGAATTAAAATAAAAACATCAAGTTTGGAATTAAGAACTAAGAATCAAATAGTTTTGTCATCCATCCATTGCAAAGGAGTTTAACCTCAGATGTTAATGTAAAAAATACAAGAAAAATAAAAGAAAGTCATCACTTGAATCATTAAAATATGAAGAGAATAGGGAAATCGTTAATTTATACCTTCAAATCCGGATCCAAGCAATGAATTCTTCATTCTTCAATGTATCCTCTCTCTATTTATCTCAAAAGTCGGCTTACAATTACGTCCTCGCCTCTTTCATGTGGTTCAAATTATGTATATTCCTCTCCTCCTTGTTCTAGCCATCTCCTCTTGCTTAAATAGTAGGTTGAATTTTGTTTCCATAAAAATTTAGGTTGAAAATGGAGTTTGGGCCGTTTCGGCCCAGAATTTGCCCCCTGTGCACCATACAATTCATCAAGCACCACTTTTTTTGTTTTACTCTTTCTATGCAAGAATTGAGCTCCCACGTGCGCACCATATAAAATATTTTCAATTTATGCACTTTGATTCCTCAATTTTAATCTTCATTAGTTTTAACTTTTTCTATGTCTTCTTGCTCCCCTAGCTTTCAATTCCATCTAATTGAATCAGCACCTTTTCCAGTCATTGACATTGGGTTTGAATCAATTATTGACACTTTGCAATTTAGTCCCCAAGCTTTGGATTCAGTTCCTTTTAGCCAAAATTTTGATCCTTTTGTCGGCTTTTATAATTTTTCATTTGTTTAGGCTATTCTGCACTGTTAAGTGGCACGGTCATCTTCTCATTGGAGTAGTCACCTCTCCAATAAGCTTTCAGTCGTTGTCCATTTACTTTAAACCTTCTCTATTGATCTTGAGACACCACCTCTACAACACTATGTGGAGACACGGCTACTATTGTGAAGGGACTTAACCACTTAGACTTTAACTTTCCCGAGAAGAGTTTGAGGCATGAATTGAACATCAACACTTACTGACCAACCTGAAACTCATTTTCCCTTATATGCCTGTCATGTCATCTTTTAGTCTTTTCCTTATAAATCTTTGCATCCTCATACGAATCCAAACGAAACTCCTCTAGCATATGAAGTTGTAGAACCCTCTTCTCTTCTGTTGCCCTCATGTTGAAATTGAGCATGTGTGTCGCCCAATATGCTTTATGTTCTAGCTCAACAGGCAGATGACAGGCCTTTCCGAATACCGGCCTATATGGAGAGATGCACATTAGAGTTTTAAATGTTGTTCTATATGACCAAAATGCATCATCTAATTTCTTAGCCCAGTCTTTATGTGATGCATTGACCATAACTTTGAAAATCATTTTTAACTCCTTGTTGGAGATTTCCACTTGCCCACTAGTCTGAGAATGGTATGGAGTCGAGATACGGTGTTTCACTCCATATTTGGCTAATAGCAAAGCAAATAGGCAGTTACAAAAATACTTCACATCATCACTAATAATTGTCCTTGGGGTTTCATATCTTATGAAATTGTTTTTCAGGAATTAAATCACCACACGGCTGTCGTTAGTTGGCAAAGCCATAGCCTCAACCCGTTTGGACATGTACTCCACTGCTACCAGTATGTATTATTGACCATAGGATGGAGAGAATGGTCCCATGATGTCAATGTCCCAAATGTCGAATATTTTCAACCTCCAAAATGCTGTTTAAAGGCATCTCATTCTTTTTTGAGATGTTTCCAATCCTCTGGCACTTGTCACAATTTTTCAGCATATGATGTGCTTCCCTGAACAGTGTAGGCCAATAAAACCTTATTGTAGTACCTTTGTCAGTGTCTTGAATGTTACGAAGTGACCTCCATATGGTACAGAGTGCCATGATTCCAACACTTGATGTTGTTCTACTTCGGGCACAAAACGACGTATGATCTGATCTGGACCCCTTCTGTAAAGAATTGAATCATCCCAAAAGTAGTGTTTTAAGTCACTAAAGAACTTCTTCATCTGATGACTCGAGTAGTTCGGTGGGATGATAGAACAGGTAAAAATAATTGACGTAGTTGGCATACCATGGTGTGGTGATAATCTGGAAAAACATTTGATCCAGAAAAACTCCATTGATCTTCTCTGTAGGGTTTGACTCATGTGATTTAAGGTGAGAGAGGCCTTCTTATCTCTGATCTCCAAATCAAACCCTTGTAATAGGAGTATCCATCGAATACTTCTCAGCTTCGCAATTTGTCAACTGCAAATATGATTTGAATTTGTGAACTACGAACACTACTGCCAAAAGCTTTTTCTCTATAGTCGCATAATTCATTTGAGCTTCATCTAAAGTCTTACTTGCATAGTGAATAACATAAGAAATTTTCTCCTTGCGTTGACCTAACACTGTCCCCACTACATGATCACTAGAATCATACATAAGTTCAAATGGATAATCCCAGTTTGGAGAAGCCAACACTGGAACAGAAACTAATTTTTCCTTTAAGGTGTTGAAAGCAGTCAAACACTCCTCAACAAAGTGAAATAGAGCACTTTTTTCCAATAAATTGCATAATGGCTTCGAGAGTTTGGAATAGTCTTTGATGAAGCGACGGTGGAACCCGGTGTGACCTAAGAAACTTCCAACTCCCTTCATTATTGTCGATGGTGGTAGTTTTTCAATGACTTGTATTTTAGCTTTATTTACCTCAATACCTCGTACTGATATCAAATGCCTTAACACAATCTCTTCCTGAACTATGAAATGACATTTTTCCCAATTTGATATAAGGTTTATGTCTTCACGCCGTTGTAACAATTTTCCCAAATGTTTAAGGCACTCCTTAAATGACCTTCCAAAGACTAAGAAGTCATCTATAAACACTTCAATGATATTTCCCACCATGTTCGAGAAAATGACATCATACAGCTCTAAAAGGTGGCTGGAGCATTGGGCATCCTTGTATGATCAAAAGTATTATAAGGGCATGTGAATATTGTCTTCTTTTGATCATTTGGCACTATAGGAATTTAGTTGTACCTCGAATAAGCATCTAAAAAGTAGTAGTAAGTATTTCTAGCGAGTCTCTGATCAATGAAAGGAAGGAGGAAGTGATCTTTCCTCGTGTCATTGTTAAGTTTGTGATAATTAATGCAAACTCTCCAACCCGTAACTGTGCGTGTAGGAATGAGTTGATACTCAACTGAAGCTTTGTAATCATCTTCCATCAGTATCTTCTGCATGCAAAGAGAAGGGCTGATCCCTTTTATATCCAATATAGTCCATTTTATAGCTGTTTTGTGCTCCTGAAGTACCATCGACAACTGATCCCTTTTGATTCTATAAGAGTATTAAAGATAATTACTAGAAGTGAATTCTTTTCCCCCAAGTATGCAGAGTGAAGATAAGTGGACGGCTGTTTGAGTTCAAGAGTTGGAACTTACTGGATAGATAGTAAAGTTGTTGTGGGTCCTTCATCGAGCTCTAAATGTGGTTGCTTGAAAAGTGGTGGTACGTTCTTTTGCTTTCTCCTTTCTGATAGTAGATCCTGAGAATGAATTGAACAAACCTCAAGCGGATCCTCAGGGTGATCAAGTATGAATGTCTCTAACACTATTTCTTTTATTATATCAATCTACGTGCAAGAATCCAATTAGCTCTGGAATTTGAAAGCTTTGAACATGCTGATTGTCAGTTCATCTTCATTTAACCTCAATATTAGTTGACCCTTTTGTACATCTATTAGAGCCTTTCCTGTAGCAAAAAAGGGCTACTCAATACGAAAGGGACGTCCCTATCTTTCTCCATATCTAGAATAATAAAGTCTATTGGGCCTTTACTAAAATGTCTTCACAAATACCTTGAAGGTGCCGGATTGACCCGTCAGCCAACTGCAGTGAAATTGTAGTCAATTTTGCTTTCCCAAACCTAGCTTCCTGAAAAGAGAAAGACATTAAATTAATGCTAGCTCTTAAATCACACAATGCTTTATCTATACATAAATTACTAATGTTACAAGGATTAGAAAAACTCCTTGGGACTTTTAACTTCAGTGGTAATTTATGTTGCAAAGTTGTGCTGCACTCTTCAGTTAGTATGATCGTTTCATTGTCCTCTAGCTTTCTCTTACTTGATAGAAAGTCTTTCATAAACTTGTTGTAGTTGGACATTGAGCTAAAGCTTCAATGAATGATATTTTAATGTGCAGTTTTTTAAAAACATCCAAATTTTTTTGGAATTGCTTATCAAGCTTGTGTTTTAGCAATTTATGTAGGAATGAGATCGGAGGCACATATGCTTTGATAGGAGCAGTTGCCTTCACCCGTGGACTATTCGATGACTCAACTTAAATTTCCTCTATGGCTTTGTCTGATTGATCCACTTGCTCCTCACCCATGGTAGGTACTTTTTCTATGACTGATGTTGGCTGCTTTACACCTATTTCTCGTAATTGGATGCCAATATATATAGTGATTGCTTTGAGTTGCTCTTTAGGATTTATCTCAGCAACGCTAGATAACATCTCTTGAGCTCTACTTGATAGTGCGGCTACCATTTGTCCCATATGTTGTTCCAAGTTCTTTATCGAGGCCTGTTGATTCTGAAAGTTGATCTCAGTCTTAGTAATGTACTGAGCTAGCAAATCTTCCAACGATGGGTTTCTCTTTTGCTGCTACTGTTGTTGTTGGAACCCTGGGGTTTAATCAGATTGTTTCCTCCCTATCCTTGTACCTGATTGTTAGACCATGAAAAGTTTGGAGAGTTCCTCCACCTTGGATTACATGTGTTGGAGTAAGGATTATTCTGTTGTCTTTGAAAGTTCTGTGTATAGCTAACTTCTTCAGGTTGATTTACATGTGTAGACGCTAAAGTGTAGCGTGTAGTAATATGATCCACTCCACAACCTTCACAAACTGGTGGCGATCGATGTTTCATGTTAATTGACTGAGATAGATTGTCTATTTTCATAGTAAAAACTTCCATTTGCAAAGCCATTGCTGTCATTGCATCCACATTGTGTATCCCTGCTGTTTTTCTTGGAGCTTTCCTATCAGTTGGGCACATCGACTTGTTTTTATCTATTTTTTCATACAAATCATAGGCCTCATCGACATCAAGTTTCATTACCGATCCTCTTGCTGAAGCGTTTATCATATTCCTAAACTCTTGTTGTAGACCGTAGTAGAAAAGAAACTATTGAGCCTACTTAGGAATGTCAAAGCTAGGGCATTTCCTAAACAAACTTAGGATAGCTCTCAAAATCTTTCTGCTTGAAAGTGTGGACTTTATTCCTAATTTGGTGAACTCAAGAGGATGGAAAGAATTTCATGGTGAACTTTTTAACCATGTCACTCCATGATTGGATGCTCCTTGGAGGTAACCAAAGTAACCACTTTGCGACGTCCTTCAAGGTATAAGGGAATAATCGCGTTCGAAATGCCTATGCTGATATTCCTTCGTGACTGATCACCTCATATAACATGAGAAACATTGAAATATGTTCATGAGGATTCTCTATGGCTTTTCAAAAGAACTTGATGTCATGGTGATTTTGAAACAGATTAATGACATTTGATCTGAGGTAGAAATTAGGTTGTCTGAAGGGAGAATATACCACAACGGGTTGCACTGGTACAAGAATTGGATTTACATAATCCCCAACTAAAATAAGAGCTTCATTCTAGATAGCTCTCTGTTGATTTGGCTATGGCATTTGCTTTTGAAGGTGAACTTGACTTTGTGGTTAATTCTGATTATCAGCCATTCTCCTTGCTTAACGTTGCACTCTTTAGCAATTTTTGAATGTCCTTTTGATTTCGTGATCTAACTGAATGAGATTCGGCTCGTTAGGATTTTACATAAACTAAATTCAGCTGAAAAGAGTCAAGACACAATAGAATTAAGCAGTATAATAGTATTCTAATCTAAAACATCTAATAACCAAAATTGACACTGTTATTTCCTAGCAACGGTACCAAAACCTTATTCGTAGAAATCCCGTAAGCATACGGTTTTATTGCACAAGTAATAATCGTGATGAGAGAGTTATCGTCACATGTGGAATAAGGCTCAATTCTAGTATATTTGATATGTTTAAATTCGTGCTTGTAATCAAAAGATGATCTATGAATATCTAACTAGGTTTTGTAACTAAAACTTGTAAAATCAATAAGGAGTTTCATCTAAAAATAAAATAAGTAAACGTATTGGATTTTCGACCTACTAAACAATTCTTAGTTCTAATTCTCAACTAGTAATAATTATCTCAATTCATTCAATTGTGACGATCAATAATTCTACTTTTATTTATTATTCTTTTCCAAGATATAATAAACTTATGATTACCACAAAAAGATCATATTCCTTGTTCGAATTCATATGGCAAACATGTATTGACATTTAGGATTATCACACATGATTGTACACGTCATAAATATTGTTCCTAACATTTATTGCCTGTGTTTTTCAATAACAATGTTCTACCTATCATGAATTTTCCAACACAAGCAACTTATTGTCTTAATGGTACACAAACATTAAAACAATGTAAATATACATATTAATGGAATCACAACACCGACTTAAAAACTAAGAATCAAATAGTTTTGTCACTCATCCAATACAAATAAGTTTAGCCTATAACGTTAATCTAAGAAATACAAGAAAAACAAAAAGAAAGTCATCATCTAAATCATTAAAATATGAAGAGAATCTAGAAATCGTCAATTTATGCTTTCAAATCCAGATCCAAGTGATGAATTCTTCATTTTTCAATGATCCTCTCTCTATTTTAGAATCTCTCGAAAGTCAACTTACAATCATGTCCTCGCCTCTTTCTTGTGGTGAAAATTATGTATATTCCTCCTTGTTCTAGCCGTCTCTACTTGCTTAAATAGTAGGTTGAATTTTGTTTCTGTAAGAATTTAAGTTGAAAACAGAATCTAAGTAATTCGGCCCAGAATTTGCACCACGTGCGCACACCATATATTTCACCGCATGCAAGTCACTTTGTTGTTTTGCTCTTAGTATGAAAGAATTGAGGTCCTCACACACGCCACTTTAAGCCTGCGTGTGCGCCCCATATAAAATATTTTCAATATTTACACTTTGATCCTCAATTTTGGTCTTCATTCTTTTAAACTTTTTTTTTATGTCTTCTTGCTCCTCTGGCTTTCAGTTTCATCTAATTGAATCCAAACCTTCTCCAATCATCGATATTGGGTCTGAATAAACTATTGACACTTTACAATTTAGTCCCCAAACTTTGGATTTAGTCCCTTTTTGCCAATTTTTCGCTCCTTTTGTCGACTTCTATCATTTTTTATTGAGATGCACCTAACAAACGAAACATATACAAAATTAAGCTTCAATTTATTTAAAATAACAATAATTGCTTGTTGAAGAGAGTAAATAAAAAATGAAAGGACAATATGAACGAAACAAAGCACAATCTATTATCAATTTACTAGAGAAGCCTTGCTTGACTACACATCAAATTTGGTCGTGTAAATTTGAGTTGATTTTGCACAAGAACACGTAAATGAGAATTAAAAAAATGTCCATCACAATTTACATCAATTATACAACAAATTCATTATATATATATATACACACAAGCATTCCCAACTTCATTTCACCTATCAAATGCTTTACTAATCTTCTACACATTAGCATTATCTCTTTCTCGTTCTTGTCTCTCAAAAGATGGTCCAAAATCTTTCCCTTCATTAAATGAAGAAGATAACGAAGTTTCATTATCATTTTCAGTTGGAAATTTATGAGATCAACACTCTTCGCAAAGAGAATGGTGTAACCCTACAAAGTTAACATTAGCTTCATTTATGTATGACATAAAATGGAGGAGCTACTTTGAAAATTGTGAATCGTGTTTTTAAATATACTAAATATCCTCTCAACTACGTTTCCCAAGGAAGCATGGAGGATATTAAACAATTACTTTGCATTTTCAAGATCAAGGTCTTGACTAGCAAAATCTTGAAGATTATAGCATATACCTCGAAAAGGAGCTAAGAATTGACATTGATTTGGAAATAAAAAATTTGCCAAAAAATATTTGCCTCAAAATAAATATTAGTTGTAGAATTAGCAAATAACGAATAACATGTATAATCATGATTAAGAAAAGTAAAAAGAAAAATGGAACTATAAAGTGATATCTTGTGACGTTTTAAGTTCATTTCTCTTTGTTAAAGTATCACTCAAAACTCTAGAATCATGAGCTGATCCTCCCACCCATTAAGTACATATATAAATTCAAATCAAAGTTATGAGCAGCTAAAACATTCTGCCAAATTGCTCCATGACGATTTCTATAACTAATCATGTCCAGTTACCATTGCTGGAATATGGGTGCGGTAATAGCTCCTATACAATCCCAAAGTAATATAATGGTACAAATAAATAATGATAACACCAACTATAATAACCAAAAAAAAAAAAAACAACTATAATAATAATAATAATAATAATAATAATAATAATAATTTCATTACTTAGTTTAAAGTAAGGATAAAATCTTGTATTTTGCCTTATTTTTTTGTAGATCCAGGTTTGACCAACACGTCTAAGGATAAAAATGCATTTTTGAATATTGTATTGATGAAAAAACGTGTGACTAAAAAATAAGAAAAAATTTGGATTTACATGTAATAATAAATAAATAATTTTTTTACCATACAATTATTTACAATATTGATTTTTACCAATTGTAATGGTAGACATTTATCAACGAAAAGTCGATTCGTATTGGTTAAGACTTTTTTGGTAAAATGTTTACTCTTTACCTACGGCATGATCCATTGATAACTATCAGCCACCCTCAAATTACCAACGGATTTGTGGTTGCAAATATTCCGTTGGTAAAGATATTAGTAATGGATATTGAGGCTTTAGGAACGGAAAATCCGTGCTCGAAACTCTGTTTTTTAGTAGTGAATGTATTTTTTTCCAAAGAATGTGACATAAACAGGGCCTTAGTGTCTGTTAATTGTTGAAACTTTGATTGGTAGTAAAATGTGTCGATCAAATTTTTGACGAATTGGGAGTATTTTAACCAATGGTCAGTAGGAATGTTGCAAGCGTTTCTTTAATACAAATATACTTGGCATCATGTAATGGTGTTTTCCTTTAATGATGTTGCTTAATTTTAGAAACACATTGGGATATACTCTATAAACTCGTTGAGAGGTTTCTGGATCCTCCTTTAATGGTATGTATATAATTATATCTGTTTCTAATTTTGGTTGCCTAGTTTTTTAATGTTTGACACATTTACGATACATATTAGCTATATGATCATTTAACACATAGAGGATTGCTTGAATGGGAAGCCGTGAATACCTAATGATTTCATATCATTCTTCTTCATTTCCATCTTCTCCAACCTCTTCCATATCTATTTCATGATCTTCATGCATGTTGACATTAGACATTATATAAATGAAAGTACCTAAAAATAAAAACAATGAAAATATAAAGACTTAAAAATATGTTAAATGAATGAAATATTACTAATTCAATATACGATAAATACATACAATCAATAGGGACTCGAAACTGTAGAATTCATTACTTTTTCAAAGCCAAAATATCCATTACCGGTAGACTAACAATGAAAAATTATAAAGTTCACTTCTAATAATGACTAAGAAAATGTTTCATTCAATTTAAAGATTATCCAATTAGAATTCTCTTCTGGATCTTGTTCAAGAACTTGGACTTCTTTGCTATTGTATTAAGCAAATCAAGGGCCTAAAAACGAGCATCACAAGTTTGGGATCTCCTTCATGTCATCCCAACAATTATGCTCTCTAGCTTCAATTAATTCAATAGCTCGAGTAATCATGACAATAGTATGGGCAACCTTGTCTCTAACATCTGATTGTGTACTTTTGGGATCAAGCAAGCTAGATTTTGCTTCAAACACAGTTCGACTTCATTTTTGAATTGTTGTAGTAGCCTCTGAACTTGTATGCTTTGGGAGTAATGGTTGACTAGAATGCTCAAAAGGTGGTGGTCGATATAAAGGGTCTTATTTATCAGTTTGTATAAATGCATTACTATAAGGATCATACATGAAGTCATCTATTAAACCGCTATTGTCT